TTCCCCCTCCCAAGTCAGCACCCTTTATTTTTTATGTTATATGGAAGAGAAACAATTTACCCATTTACCCAAGCTAGAATCCCAGGAATCATTCTTGATATTGCTCTTTTTCTAATCTCCTGTATCTAATCAATAACCAAGTTCTCCTGTATATTTATTAAATATATCTTCTTCTCTCCATCCCCACCTCCACTGCCCTATTTCTGACCTGAGTCATCTCTTCACTGGTCTATTGCCACATCCTCTGAATTGCATCCTATCTCTCTGGAATCTGTTTTCTCCATTGGTGCCAGAGTAGTCCATATAAAACACAAATATATAAATATGACCAAGTCACTCCATTTCTTAAAATCCTTAGACGGCTCTATCTTGGACAGTTTGATTTTTCCATAATCTGGTGGTTGCCTATCCCTCCCACCTCATCTCCTGTCACCTCTTGCTTTGGTTTTTAATGCCAGTAATCCAGGTACCTATACATGGTGCTCTATAACTTTGATTGCACTGTCCTTCTGCCTATAAGCTTGCTTCTGCATTATTGCCTGGCTGTCGTCCTTTAAAATCTAAACCAGGCATTATCCTTTCCATATAGTCTTCCTCCCAACTGTTAGGTACTTCTCTTCACATATCACTGGACACATCTATCATTGCACTTATCACATTATCCTATTAAATCAACTACATGTTTCTGTTTCTGCTACCAGTCTATGAAAATCTTGGTCATCTTTGAATCCACAAAATCAAGCTAATTTTTCTGATCAAAGGATACAACTTGAGCAGCACATTGTGGCAAAGAAATGTTTGTTGAATAACGAGTTTATATGCCTGTCATTTATGGCTGACAAGTGCACTGAAAACTTCCCTGGTGGGCTAGGACTTTATGTGTTAAGAAAACTAGGTTTCCTAATCTTGGTGGGCTCTGGGAGTTTTATCAGACTGTGATTAATGCAGCAGGGAGGGGCCCTGGAAAGAGCCCTATAAAACCCTATTGGGATAACCTCAACTCAAGCCAATTTCTCTTCACCCAGGGAGTATTGCTGTATATGTTGGTCAAGAAAGGACATGACTGAATTTAATACAGTTTACCCTAGAGGCAGAACAGCAAAGAAAGGATTCTCCTAATTTAATTATCCTCTCTGGGTGCTTCTCCCTGTTAATCTAGAGGGAGATTTGGCCCAGAGCAGTGCACTGAAGGCCCATTTACAGTTAAGGCCCCTCTCTACTTGCGTCGCTGATGATTGGAAGCTTAGACAGATTGCTATCAAGTGGTTGGGTATATCAGAGGCTTTGGTACTTAATTCATAGCTGTTAGTTGGATTACACTGCAAAGAAATTGTTTCAGAAATTTTGCTGAGATTTCCCTGGAGCAAGTTTTACATATTGTTCTTGGGAATAATGTGTTTTGCTAACTAGTCTTACCAGAAATGCCTAATTTTTTCCTGATCAAGGGATATAGTTTGGGCAAGCATAGAACACCAGTTTTTGAAATTATAGGAAAGATCTGGGCAAAAATAAGTGGAAAAAAGGGGCTCCTATCCTTTCCTCTAGTTTAGATAATGGACTACCCTCACAGCTGTTCTGTGTTGTCACTTCTCACTACCCATTAAAAGACAACAGATAAAAGGGAGAAAATAGTTTGATAAAATATTACTGATTAAAATGGCAAGAATTCTAAAAATCAAACAGACAGCTATAGCAAAAAATACTAAATCTAAGTGAACTGGGAAAATTACCAAAACGACTCTGCAAGACATTTTGTATAAATGTTAAGTAACTAAAAACATTAAAATATGTCTTATATGACAAGTCTGAGGTCTGATGCAGAGCAAGCATTTTAGCAGGAAAAAACGCTAAGTGAAGATTATGGCCCCTATAAGATAGCCTAGGTTGGACAACGTAGGGGTCAGAGATACTAAGCTTGCAGCTCAAGAAGAAACATTCCTATTTTTTACTCCTTACTTTGGCCACAAAGGGACAAAGGCTTGAAGGTCTTTCTTCCAGTGGAATGCTCCCTCCCTATCTGACCTAACCTCTGAAAGTCAGATCCTTTGAGCACCCAGCTTCTACTTAGGAAACCATTTGTAAATTCCATATCTGAAGTCAATTAGAATCACTTCTTTTACTATAAAATCTTAAGAGAATATTTTGGTCAAGAGAGATTTTTTAGTGAAATCTAGAGGGAGAAGATTAGAAAAGACCAAACTATAACAACTAGTGCCATAAATTGACTCGAGATTATTTTTAAAATAAAAAGATCATTTAAAGTGATTCATTTTGATATGGGTGCAAATATCTCACAAGTTATGTTTCCAATTAATTTAATATTTATACTCTGCTTCCAAAAAGAATCTAAGGCTGCTTCCAAAGATCAGTTTTGCTTTTATATCTAGACTATTGAAGTGTGACATCATACTATTTACTGCATTATGTTTTAGTATGTATTTTATGACAATACACTTTCACCTAATCTTTGAGACTGTATTTTGCATTAGGAGAAGGCAAAATTAAGCTGCTAAAGTCTGTATGTAATCACATTACACTACACTTACAAAAATGGAGCGAGGCATTAACATTTTGACTAACAAGCAAAAAAAATAAAATAAAACCTAGTTTATTTGAAAAGTTGTGAAAAGAAAAATGCAAGAAAGTTTTAGCTGAGTCATTTGTAGTTAAGAATAAAAAGTGAAGTCAATGAAGACTTAATCCGTTTATTTTTCTTTCCCCCAAATCAAGAATATTTGAAGTAAAAAGCCACTTATGTTCTGAACAAATTAAATGAAGTAATTAATGCCCATTGTATTGTCAAAATCAAAGGCAAATGCTATGTTTTGTAGGGGAAACCTCAGGGAGAAGGAATTAGGGCAAATATTTAAGGCCTTGGTAAAATCTACTAGATAGTATAACTCCACACCTACATTTTGTTTCAGTCGTTATTAGTTCTTAGATTTATTTTTTAAATAATCTTAGGTGATTAGACCAAATGAATTCCTTACTTTAACATAAATAAGAGGAGAATATATATGACTGAATTCTGACCTAGGGTCTGCCTTAAAATCTTTCTCGGGGATCTTGTTTTCCCATCTTCTTTGGCACTGGTCTTTTCATGAAATACACATCTATTTTATTTTTACTGTATCCTGGTCTTTGACATTTGTTTTGATATTCCACTCATTAAGCAAGCAACATCTCACTTTGGACCTGCTTGCACAGTATGGTTGCTTGTCCTGCAAGCCCAGTCTCAAGGTGCAGTTTGGTGTGTCAGTCAAATTTAGTCATTTTCTACAGAGTTGCTGTTCTCAGAGTTGCTGTTTAGGTTCTGGTTAGGAACACTCAGGGTGACTCTCACATTTCTTTGTAGTTATTTCTGATGAGACATATTCTGTTAACACAATGGGCTTTCCATCACTCATACTGTTCGTTTTGTGACACTGATACAACTCTTTTTACTAGTTTTAAAAGTTCACATTCTGGAATCACTTTAACTTGGTGCAACATGGCAGACAAATTACTTTCCCTTTTTAAGCCTTATTCATTAATTTATCCAACATTTATTGAATTATGTGTAATAGGTTTGCAGATAGGAAGTGAATGTGATAGGTAGGGTTTTCTTATCTGTAAAATGTGGCTAATGATGAGCTGTTGTGGAGGATAAAACATATGTAAGGTACTTAGCACCATGCTCAATAAATATTCATTGTTATTATTAGCAGTATTATTTTGATAAAATTACTTTTAACATCTCCCTGTGACTGCAGCGTCACAATGTATCCTATATATATAAAGCTACTCCTTCAATTACTGACACTGAAAACGGTCTTTTCTAGAAACATTGATGTAATGTTCTTAGACTCTATTGGAATGTAAGCACTCCAAACTACAATAACTTTCACACCTGGTCAGCCAAGAAAAAACTGTAAGTCACAACCACGATCTGGATTGTGAAAGTAAGGTGTTGTATCTGTGTCCTCTGAGTGTAGGCTTGTCTAGATAATTTTCTAAATGTCTTTCCAAAATTCTGCATACACTTCTAAGTTTGGATAGTTAGAAAAACAAAGAAGTCTAAATACAGGCCATCTTAAATTTTACTTGTTCTCTATCACTAGCATTGAAATCAGCAGTTAAAAACGTCACAATATTTTAACTACTGTGGTTTTAGCTGTTTGTGTGTGTGTGTGTGGGGGGGGGGGTTGTCATCAACTCACGCCAGTTAAAGAACGTGGCATTTCTGCATCTTATAAAATTGGACTAGAGAAAGTGGGTTACCACAGTAACTGGCAAAACCTATTGACATTACTGGAATGCTTATTTAAAAAGTTTCCCTTTTACTTAATGGACCTATTTAAGAATGATACAGAGAAAACGCCTAAAACGGTGGTGGTAGAGAGTTTGCATCTACACTCTAGGAATATTTGCCTTTTAAAGTGAAACCTCATTAGGCAAACTGTATTTTACTAACGGTTGCATAGTAGCCTGTGTATGGTTTTTGAAGAAAATGAGTTTTGAAAAATAATGTTTACAATTTGTCACTCATTTTAAATCCCATTGTTGCCCTTTGGTTCTTATTAATATATAAGAATATCGAACACAAAATGACATCCTCTAAAATAGGTACTTTAGAGGAATTGGCCGAAAACCTGAAAAAGAGCCTTTTAAAATGGTACATAGGGCAGAACCTGTCTCAGGATCCCACAACCAGCAGCTGGCAGGTAACAGCCTCAACGCCTGACTTCCCAGGACCCGCTCATCACCCGGGGAAGACCCGACAGCACTAGCCCTCCTGCCTCATCATCGCTGCGCTTCTGGCAGGCGGAGCCTCGTTCTCGTCCACGGCAGTCCACACCTTCGTCTCTGCAGGCGTACGCGGGTCTCGGGAATCACCTCAGGAGACCCCTCAGCAGCCGGGAGGCCGAGGGTGAAAGCCAGAGCCAGGAAAGCCCGGGCTCTCCCTGTAACCCCCGCACTCAGTGGTGTCCCCCTCCCCTCGGTGGTGGGGCCGCGGATACCTCCTCAGCCGCCTCAGCTGTCGGAGTTCAACTGGTGGGCGGCCCGTCTCGCCGTGGCCGCCACCGCCGGGTCCCCTCAGAGGCCTCACAAAGCCATACTCCAGCCGCCCGCACCTGATTGACTGACCCCGGGCTCTGGCTCTGCCTCGCGCCGCCACCGCCTCCGCTGCCGCGCACGCGCACCTCGCGCGCCTCTGTTGCCGGACGGCCCCAAAGCGGGAACGCCAGGCTGCGAGCTGCTGGCACCTGTCTGCCTGCCAGACAGACCCTGGGCTCCGGCCTCGTGCTGGCACGCGCACGCGCCTCGCGCGCCTGCCGTCGGCCCTGGGGGCGGGACCGCGCGGCAGCGAGCGGGCGGGGGGCTCGTGGCGCGCGCGCCCCGCACCCGAGGGCTGCGGAGAGATATTTTGGGTGGCAGGAGGCCCCTCGTCATTTCCGCCGGGCAGCTAGTCGTGCTGGGGGCTTCACTCCCGCGCGTGAGGCGAGCGGGCAAGTTGGCTGAGGGCGTGCGGCAGAGGCTGCTTCCCTCGGTGACGCGACCCCCTCAGCAGCTCAAGCCATGAACTGAAGCTCCCTAGGGACGGAGACCCGAGCGGAGCGGCGGAGGCAGCAGCAGCAGCAGCAGCAGCAGCCGCCGCCGCCTTAGCGGGAACTGAGCAGACCCGGCGCGGAGCCACGACTCCTGCACGTTTCCCTCCCCGTCGCCGTTCCTGCCAGCGGTTGGCTAAGAGACATTACAGCCGCGAGACCCGACACACAAAAGCCGCTTTCAACGCGCCGCCCGCCCAGAGAGGCTGCGGTCAGCAAGGGACCCCACCTGAGAGCGGTTCGGACTGCTGAGTTCGTTTTGTGTCTGAGCTCCGCGCTCTGCACGGAACCGACCCCGTACCCATGGCTCTGATAATGGAGCCCGTGAGCAAATGGTCTCCGAGTCAAGTAGTGGACTGGATGAAAGGTAATGCCCGCTGCGGGGAGGGTGAGGCGGCACTGGGGCGCGGGGCACCAGTGCGAGGTTAGGAGGGGGCGCCCGCCGCGCCAGAGCCCGCCACCGCGGCTTCCACTGGCGTACGTCGTACGCGTCGGGGCGGGGGTCCTCCAGGACTGGCAGGGGCCTGGGGTCCCCGGTCTTCTTTTGTCTCCAGCTAGAGGGGCGCGGAGCGGCCAGAGAGCTAGAGGGCAGCGGGCGCCACCCGGTTGGAGGCAGGAAGTCGGGAGGCGGAATACCGGCGCATCTTGCGTACTCCCCGCTCCCCTTACTGCCCCTGGGCCAGGAGGACGTGGCGACCCTTATCTCCTAGCTCAGGGTGGACTCCCCCAGGACCTGCTCCCCTGGTCGCCCTTCCCTGGCCCCTTTGTTCCTGGGAAAGCTGACGCCCCCTCGGCGGCCGCCCTTGCCAGCCGCCTTCCCCAGCGCCAACTCTCCCAAGCAACTTTTAGCCCGCATAATGGGGTCAGGACTCGGCCGCCCCCATTTGGAGCCTGGCATCCCCCCACACCCAGGTTTGGCTGAGGATGCCCAGGGCGGGGGTACGTGCTACTTTGGGGGTGAGGACATCATGCTTCCCCTGGGACAACATCCTTGCTGGTATCTGTGGGCTGCCTCCAGCGCATCCCTTCACATCCTTTCCCTTCTCTGCTTTCTCCCTTTCAAGCCAGTCGAGGTTTTGGACCTCACGGCTTTTTATTAAGGGCTCAACGCCAGGTGTAAGGTGATGCGCATTCAGGTACCTTCACATTTCTTCCATCTTGAAGGTTCCCCCCTTTTTGCCCCTGGCGATTGATAATAACCACAGTTATAGACAATCGCCCTCCTAATCGCAAACGTGAGCTTTTTCTCTAATCCCTGGGCTTTCCTGTCTCACTACCTCCCTCTGTTGTCTGAGTTAAGGGGCTTGTAGAGGACTCCTCCACCCACCAACCCCTTGGATTCCCAGGCCCAACTCTTCCCTAAGATTTTGGGAATTGAAGAGGGGATAGATGGGATGGAATGGAATAAAGAATCCGTGGCCACACTTGGAAAATGTTAGCGTTTTGCTCGAGGTCATACCTGAGCAAACTCTAGGTAGATCAGTCAGGGACCAAAGGCTTATTATCGGTGAAAATGCCCGTTCCTACGATGAAGGAGCCCCTTCTTGGGCTTACTTAACAGTCAGAGTTTCTAAGCTCCAGATAATTTAGAATGAGAGGTGAGGAGATTGGAAGGGATTGAGAGTGACAGGGAGAAACTGAATTTTTTTGCTCATTCTTTTCCCCAGCCTTTTTGGCCGCTTGCTTATTCTTGTGGATTTTTCATTTTGCTTTCATTTTATTCCCTTACTTGCCCCTTTATTCCTCATTTACTTTACTTTTCTTTTCTAATATGTGGAAACTGTTTTGTAACTGCTAAGCACAGTACAAATGTGAGTGAATTGAATTAAACCCAATACATTATTTATCGACTGCCCCCCTGTGTGCAGTGCATTGTGCTAAGGTGCCATGGGGGATATAAAGATGACTAAGACAAAGTCCTGCAGTGGCTCATCTTTGCTGCTGCTTTTTCTCTTTATATATTTGCTATTGAAATTCCAGTATCTTAGATTCCCACCAATTCTCCTCACTCTCCACCTTCTTCTCTGTTTCTCAGTGATGGAAGAAAGAGCCAGAGTATATGCAGGAAGCAACAATGCTTAAAACCCCTTTCTTTGAATTTTTCTAAAAGGTTACTGTAGTTTGAGTCTGTTGCTGAAATATGAAAAGACAAGCTATCTTGGCTCCATGGGAGTCTGATTACCTTCATAGACTACCTTTTGCAAATTCCCATGATGCCTGTAGTGAGTGCTGCATACTCAGTCTCCACCTCCCACCCTCCCAGTTACATTCTTGCAGTTTCCCCTCTCTCCATAGTTTAGGTCCACTGAAGCAAGTAGAATATATGATGCAAATATTCTGACACACATTATTAGTTGTTCAGTACACTAGTCCTTTAAAAATCTTTCCAGCCTAAAATGTGGCTTCTTTGAAGTTAGGTTAACATTGTTAGCTGTGATTTGAATTTTTTTTTAATACATAAGTCGAATACCTTGTTTCATACCTGTTGGTGACGCATTTTAGAGCTATTTGAAAAGATGAATTGGGTAGCCAAGATAGAGTTTGTGTATCGTATACACATATGATTGGAAGAGAATGAATGATATTTCAAATCCCAAAGTACTTTCTGCTGAAATTTCCTTAATATTCATATGTATTTGATTTGAGATATTATCAGAAAATGAGATTTAAAAAAATAGTTGCATGAAACAAACAACATTTCCTCAACTTGTAACTTACACTGTTACCTTAATTTTTCTCTCTTTGCCCTTTTCCCCAAATAAAGTTTAACAAAGGACATTTTAAAAATATTTTTCATCCTGCAGTAATGCAGTAATATTTTAAAGTCACCTGCTAATTTAGGCTGTAGCTTTGAGAGGCTAAACCTCATTTAGTGTTGTATAATATGTAGTGTTGTAAAGGCAGTACCAAAGAATGAACAAGAGTCTTGAACAACTGCAACACTGTAGGAGTTCTTCAGAGGATGCTCCTAATGAGACAGTTTCATCATCCTTAACATTGAAAGCATATAGCATATGCTTTCTGCTGGTCACAATCATAAATAGTTATAACTCTGTTTAAGTAAGGTACATTCTTTATGTACTTTCTAGGGTATTTTTCTCTTCACTAAACAGAAAAAGAATCATTAAGTGTGTAAGAATAGGAGTGGCCATATATTTATGATTCTAGACAATTTGTAGAAGTGGTATAGAAACTCAGTCCCAGAGAGGGAAATGAACAGGGAAAAAAAGCTGACAAGATTATTAAGCTTTAGTGGCATATATTCAAGATTATTTATGAGGGACGATTTATACATTGCAATTTTGGTGCAATGTATAAATGGATTCATTTAGATTGATTTTTATTAAAATATTTGAGGGAGATGGAAATATAAAATTTATATATTGTTAGTAGTAAAAATATAAGGAAATCCTTGTATTCTTTTGCTCACCAACTTCATTATTTGTAAAATCAAATACCAAATTTTCTACTGACAATAAAAATTGAATATAACACAGTGTCAATGTTATTTCCAGTAAATACATGAACTCCTTGTGAGTCAGTGAAATAAGTAGCTATATCACAAATTATCCTGATAGTACTTCTGGCTATTTGGAGATATCTTCTAGACCTTCAAATTAATTTTTAAAATTAATCTTATAAAAATGTTTTTGGAGAAAACCAAATACTCGTAAATTAGCATTTGAAACTAACCTTCAGTTGGAAATTGCATCCAATCCTCTTGTAGTTTTTATATTTTAAAACATAAACTCCTTTCAAGGTAAATAAAGGCAAATGAGTTATTGGAAAAAGCCATAGGCAGAAAAGTAGGCCAGTAATTGTTCTAATTTTTCCTCCGTCTGTTATTCTAAAATAAGTCATTTCTCAGCTCCTATCTGTCCCCTTGCAGGGCCTGGAAATAATCTGCAGTTGTTTGAGTCTGCAGACCTTCTCTACTTTTTTGCCCACTGAAATATAACAAAAAACCCTGAATGCTTTAGGGCCCCTGTTATTAACTTTATTATTAATTTTCCTAGTCCATGTCACACCCAGTCATTCCAATTTTTTTCTTACATCTTTTCCAACTCTGAGACTCATTCAAAATATCCACATGACTAAGACAGTTATTTTTCTAGGACTCAGCTCCCTACATTACATTCTTCCAGTAATCTTTAATCTCTCTGGGTCAGATAAAATGATTATGATTTTTCAGAGTTAACCAATAGGCCCCATTTTGCTGGTCTTTAAACATCTCTGTGATTTAGCTCCAGCCAATTTTGTATTATTATGATTCCTAAAATAATTAAATTTTTAAGATAGCCTTCTCTCAACCCATTCCACAATCAACTGCTCTACCTTTTCCTGTTTACTATAAATCATTTCTTCAAGAGGCATTCTCTGACTTCTAATTTCTGTCATGATGACTCAGCCATCTCGAGGATAGAAAATAAAATACATTCTTTTAGGTATAAAAAGCAAAACCAATGTTTTGTATACAATCCTATAGTAGAGGAAAATGTAGTGATTATATAAAGTCTAGTCAGTGTAAAAGTTTAATGCTGTAAAGGAGAATGTATTTGATAAGGCAGAGATGTTTTGACAGGTACAATGCTCTTTAGTAATTTTTTTTGCCCATCATAGGACCCAGAGCTGAGGTTGAAATTTGTCTTTATTAAATAAAGAAAATGTCAGAATTTTGAGTTCAACTGTCTTGAGAGAGAGATTGGAAATAATTTTCTGGCAGGAACTACAAATAAGCTTAAGTGATCAAATTGTTTGTATCACTTCCTTTTGAAAAATTAGGGTATTTTTTTCAATTGAAAGGTGACTAAATTGGCACCAACAATCATCTACTTTGGATTTGACTTTTTTGGGGAACAGGAATTCTTGTCATTTTATGTAAAGAAGGAATGTATCTTTTCCATACGTAGAATTTCATTCAGAAGACATGTTATTTTTCTTATAGTGTTATTAACATTTGCTCCTTAATGTAACACTCATGATTTAGTGCAGATTAGGAACAAGGAGTATATTTATGTAGATATATTTGCTCCATAGATATTATTTTCTCAGTGCTTCTGCATGGAAGGTACTTTAATGGATTGTTTTAAATTATTCTCTGCTTTGGGGAAATTAGCCTCTGTAAGGCATGGTAGTGACATTGACAAACTTAGGCAAAGACAGAGAAAGGTACCAACTAGCACACGTAATTTTTTTAAAAGCTGTATATGAGCACCATTGGAAAGAGAAGATGATAATTTTATTGAATCAGAAAGGGGTCTGTGAGGAGGGTGGGGTTCTAGCAACTATTTAAGCTACTTATTTACTTAAGGCATAATCTAAGAGGGATGTATACTAAATGTAGCGGCACAGCAAGAAACTCTAGAG